TTCCCGGAAGCATCTGGAAGGAGAAAGGGTGGTGCCTCTGAAGGGCCCTGGTCGAAGCACTGGGTCACGGTCACCATGCCAACCCAATGGGAGTAGGTCACGCATGCGATGGCTGCTTGTCCATTTTGGCACTTTGCTGCGCTATAGAAGTCGTGCCGGGTGTGCCAGCCTTTTATGAGACGCTTACCAGACCGCCTATAAACATTTCTGGTTGGGGACTCGGATTGAATCTGGCTGTGATCGTCGTCCTGACTGCGACGTTAAGGCTCTCCTAAAATTCCTCCTGATCAGCCAGATCAACCGGGTAAGGCTCGTTCCGTACGAGGGTAAATAAGAGTGGACTGGCTGGCTTGCTCGGCAATGACTTGGGGCACAGGGGTGGGCCGACAATACACACGAAGACACTGCTGCTCAAAGATGCTCTTCGGTATGTTGGATTGAGGGGAGGGTAGGTTCTAATTGATGCTCAACTGTGAATACAACTATACCCACTGTTCATACATCTGCAACATAGTCTGGTTTTTGTTCTTGATTAGTTGGTTGACGGACTGCTAATACCTCACAGACAGTTTAGTAGTAGGACTGTTGTATACTACCATAGCCAGTTCTATGCAAACTTCTGTAAGTGAACTAATCATAGCAAGACCAAACTATGTAGACAGTCTCTTGTGAATGTTGTAGGCTGCCACTTGATCGATCAAGTAGGGGACCTGCCGGACACAATTATTTTTAGAAAATTAGGTGCCGGTCAGACACATGCTGTGGTAGGACTCCAGCAGGGAGTTGTAGTGCAGATAGTGTTTGCCTAACTGATGAGCAGGTCAGACACCGATGAGGGTAGAGTTGACAATGTGAGACTGACACGTTCGAGCTCACTAAGGGTCCCGCACGTGCACCAGACCCTACAACCGGGAGACGAAGCACGGCTTCATGCCGAATGTAGAGCCCGTGCTCTTGCAGCAGCGAGGGCAGCAGCAAACCTAGCAGCTAGAGATCAGGCAGCAGCAGCCAGAGCGGCAGCAATGGCTAACGGCGCAGCCTCTGCTGCATCCTCGTCAGAGACCCTGTTGGGAATGCCCTCAGGGCCCGTGGGTACTTCCGGATCAATAGGTGCTGGATAGTCCACAAGTCAAATGGCGGGCTCGCAGTTAAGCTCGTTGACCCCACGCGGCAGGGAGCTCCTAGAGCTTCAACAGGTCGAAAGGATCCGCGAGCGGTTAGAGAGGGAACTGAAGCAAGCTACCGATAGAGAAAGGGAGATTAAAAATAGAACAGCCACGCTTGACACGTTAGAGGCAGATAAAGCTGCATTAGAGGGGTTGGATGAGTCAGCCATGTCCAACGACATGAAAATATTGAAGAACAGTATGCTGTCACTGCATGCGCATGTGGACAGCAGGCTGGACTTCATGCAGAACTCCTTGGACCAGATCTTGGACCTTTTGCAAAGGCCAGGATTCAGGCCAGCAGCACAGCCGCCGTTGCCGTTAACGGCGATGTCAGGCCCCTTTCCAGTACAAGCTGGCACGCAGCCAAGTGGTACATCTGCAGCAGTCGCACAGACTGTTGCTTCTTCTTCTTCTGGGTCAGCGGTGGTTGCTACACCATCACCGCAACAACCTGTTCCTCAACAGGGACAGCAGCAAGGTCAATGGTACCCAAAGACCCCGATGAAACCGCCCCTTGCCTTCTCCGGAGAGAAGAAGGACGAGGAACTCAACACATGGCTGAGAACGGTTCCAGTATGGGTAAAGGCAAAGAGGACTTTGCAGGAGGAGGAGGTGATTACTGTTGCATCTTACCTTGAGGGTAAGGCAGCCAAATGGCTGGATGGTTTAGTCGCAAAGGCTGCGTACGGACGACGCATGGCGGACTGGGCTAAGACCATTACATTACACCAGTTCTTAGAAATGGTAGAAGCTCGATGGCACAATCCACAGCAGGCACAAATTGCCACTAATGCGATGCACAGGCTAGACCAAAGAAAGTTCAAATCAGTCAGAGAGCTTACGACTACCGTAGAGAGCCTCATCGTCGTTCCTGGCATAAACTACGATGAACAGTTCTTGTTGACCACTTTTGTCAGATGTCTCCCAGAGAATCTCAGAAATTTGCTGGCCAGCGAGG